CATTATCTTCTTCAATGGTTGGTCAGTGAGGGCCACTATGGAGTGGGCTTGGAAGTAAGGACGGAGTCGTCTAGAGGCGGTGACCAAAGCCAAGGACATTTTTTCTAACAATGGGTAATTTTTTTCCGCACCTTTGAGAGCCTGACTAATATAGTAGACCGGTCGTTGGACAGAGCTGTCTTCCCTGATGAGTGCTGCACTGACTGCGGTGTTTGACACGGCTAAATAGAGGAAGAGGGGTTCGCCCGTGATTGCCTGAGAAAGTAGGGGGGTTGGCCATGCATTGTTTCAACTGCTGAAAGGCCTCTTCGGATTCTGCCGTCCACTTAAAAGTTTGCCGAAGAACTTTGAAGAAGGGGAGACACTTGTCTGTTGCACGGGAAATGAAGCGGTTGAGTGCGGCAACTCGGCCAGTAAGCCTCTGAACCTCCTTAACTGTTTTGGGTGACTGCATTTTAATTAAGGCCTTGATCTTTTCGGGGTTAGTTTCGATGCCCCATTGACTGACCATGAAACCCAAGAACTTCCCAGATCCTACGCCGAAGGCGTATTTCTCTGAATTGAGCTTCATTTGATACTTTCATAGGGTGCCGAAGGTCTCTCGAAGGTCGGCCAGATGATCAGTGGGGAGCTTGCTCTTGATTAGCATGTCGTCGACATATACTTCCATGTTCCGGCCTATCTGATGATGAAAGACGGCATTGACCAACCGTTGGTAAGTGGCCCTAGCATTTTTTAACCCAAATGGCATGACACAATAATGGAAGGTTCCCCGGTCGGTGATGAAGGAGGTGTGCTCCCGGTCAGACGGGTGCATCAGAATTTGGTTGTATCCAGAGAAGGCGTCCATGAAGCTGAGCATTTGATGGTCGGCCATGGCGTCAACAAGCAGATCTATGCGAGGAAGGGGATAATTGTCTTTGGGGCAAACTCGGTTAAGGTCTGAGTAGTCAACACGGAGTCGCCATTTACCGTTGTTTTTACGAACCAAGACCACATTTGATAGCCATCTGGGGTAGTCCACATTTTTGATAAACTGTGCCTCAAGGAACTTATCTACTTCGGAGGCGATAAGAGTGTTGCGCTCCAGGTGAAAGATGCTCTGCTTCTAGCGGAAGGGTCGGAAGTGGGGCTTAATGCTGAGACAATGGGTTATGAAAGAGGGGTCAATACTCGGTATGTCTGAGTGGGTCCAAGCAAATACGTCGTTGTGCTCAATCAGGAGGGCAGTAAGGTCGGCCTTTGCTTGGGAGGATAGTTGGCTGCCGATTTTGGCAATTTTTGTCGGGTTGGTGGGGTCGATGGGGACCTCAACAAGCTCTTCCACTGGTTCCCCCCTGACTAGCTTGTCCTTGTCTCTGACGTTGAGCCCTTGAATGATCATAGCCTCCTTTAACTTGACCTCTTTAAGTGAGGCGACGTAACATTCCCTGGCCACGGTCTGCTCTCCTCATGCTGTGCTGACTCTCCAGGTCGGTGGGGAACTTGACGGCAAGATGAAAAGTAAATGTGATAGCTTGAAATGCATTTAGGGCGGTGCGGCCGAGGATGATGTTGTAAGCAGAGGGACAGTCGACGACGAGGAAGGTTAGTAACTTTGTGGTCTGCCGTGGGCATTCCCCGATTGTGATGGGAAGATCGATGGAGCTGATGGAGGTTACCCGATCTCCAGTGAAACCGACTAATGGGGTTTAGAGAGGGGATAAACTTTCTTCCCTGATCTTTAGCTGGCGGAAGTAATTTAGGAAGATGAAGTCCGAAGAACTGCTGTTGTCGACGAGAACCTGTCTGACCTTGTAATTGGAGAGGAGGGCAGAAATGACGAGAGTGTCGTCATGGGGGTAACAGATGCTTGTGCAGTCGGCGTCCGTAAAGGTGATAGGCTCCGTCCACTACTTGGGCTGTTTAGAGGGTCGGTCCAATGTGGCAACTTCTTTGTCTGAGCCCTGCCTTATTTTTCTGAGTTCTACTCGCTGAGCCGAGCGGGATGGTCCTCCACAAGCAAGTCCGTCGGAAATAACTCTGATTTCTCCAACAGGGGGGCAGGGTTACCTTGTGCCCGAGGTTATTGTGGAGGGCGATCGTGACCTTGGTTAGGTTATACTGGTTGCCGGGGAGGGGTGCGTCGGCGGTTGTTTCTGATGGGTTCAGTCCTTTGCCTCTGTTGAGGGTGAGTTTCCGTGAATCGAGTGAGACGTCCCTGATGTATCAAGCCCCCGACCTGATCTTTGAGGTTAACACACTTCTCGGTATTATGGCCATGGTCCTGGTGAAAATGACAGTTTTTGGACTGGTCTCGCCGATTGGAAGGAGACCGTGACGGTTGGGGCCATTTTAGGGGGTAGTCTCGTTAGATCTGATTGAGAACTTGTTCCATGGGAGAATTGAGGGGTGTGTACCGTTCGAACCGGCCGGGCGGTCAGGTTGTTGCCAATCGGTCGGCTCGAGGGGGTCGGTCGGTATACTGAGGTGTTTGGTTATTGTACTGGGTGTTTCTGGTTTTTGAGTTTTTTCTCTTCTCTCTAGGGGTCGGGTTTTTGGCTGTAGGATCTTGGTGAGTGGCTAGGGAATCTTCGGCGTTCATGTATTTTTGGGCTTTGGAAAGTAGGGTTGCCATGGAGGTTGGGGGATTTTTGGAGAGGGAGTAAAGGAAGTCAGATGATCGTAGGTCGACCATGAACGCTGCGAGGATGATCTTGTCATCGTTTTCCGCCACCTGCAAGGCTTCGGTGTTGAAACGGGTGACAAAGCTGCGCAGCGACTCCCCCTTAGTCTGACAGATGTTGAGGAGCTGGGTTGCCAGACGCCGCTGGCGCTGGGCTCTAATGAAATGGCTGAGAAATGAGTCACTGAGGTGCTGGAAAGTAGAAATAGAATCTGCTGGCAGTTGACTAAACCAGAGTTGAGCCGACCACTTGAGTGTTACGGGGAAAGCTTGACACATGATTTCATCGGGGAATGCATGAAGGATCATGAGGGTTCTGTAGGTCTCCAAGTAATCGACTGGGTCCGATGTACTGTCGAAAGAGTCGATCGTGGGCATTTTAAACTTAGGGGGTAGAGGTTTATCTCTGATGGAGGCAGCAAATGGGGAGTTGGCTGTAGTAGATGGTTTATGCTGTATGTTTTGCATGACTCTTTGTAGCTGGAGCTTCATGGCTCTGAGTTCTGCATCCCAAAGAGGAATGTTGTCGTCACCAAAAGGCAACGGGGGCTGGACGCTACTGGCCTCTCCTTCAGGGGTTGGTGCCGGGACCGATGGATGTGGGACCTGGGGTGGCAGATTTATATATGGGGGAGGGGGTCGTAAGCCTTCCAAGTTGGGTGGATAGGGCTGCTGGATAATATGGCTCGGGGCTCGTTCTTGGTTGGGTGGAATATCTGGAGGTGATGGAGGAGGCATGGGAAAGTTTCTTTGGAGTAGAGCATTAATCAAAGCTTGGTTTTGCTCGGCCAGACGGTTAATGCTGTTGGTGAGCTTGGTAAAATACTGCAGTGGGTTGTTAGGATTGGAAGGGTCGGCTTGGTGGTCGGCAACATTGTGGTGAGAGGCCATGGATCTAGTTATGACCATCCACCTTCGCAGGTGGTAAGAAGGGGTTATTGGGAAAGGGTCTCCGGCGATAATGAGCACAACTGCCGGGTGGAGTAAAAGCTTCCCATAGACGGCGCCAACTGATGATACAACGTGTTCCAGATGGAACGGGTCGGACTGATCCACGCTTCCCGAACTAGTGTCTGAGATACCAAGCACGCAGTGGAACCTGCACAAGAGTTCAACGGGGAACGGGGAGTCCCTCAGCGAACCCTCCGACGAGCAAGTTAGAAAGAGAGATGGAATGTAGAGAGATTAGAGATAAAAAGCTTAACATTCTTCTTGTTTTTGACGTCTGCTTATATCCTTTGGTTATCATTTCGTTGTCTCTTCCGACCTGCCATCTTGGCTGAAAGTCTATGCTCTAGCTTGCTTTGTTCATGGTGAGGCCGTTCTGTCTCGACGGGGAGGGGATCGCAATAAATGCTGTAAGGGGCTTCATTAATGGCTGATGTGCAGTGCAATAACTTTATAGGATTTTTGTCTACTTATGTAGCATGTCCTTTACCTGTCAGGTGTTTAAGTGTCATTGGTTCTTGATGCCATGTTGAGCTCCAGCAACGCGGGGCTTCTTTAGTTGAATTATCTATTGGGCCTTAAGTAGTGGGCTTGGGTTGTTCATAGTGGGGCTATAGCCTTTATGGGCTTACCCATGTCAGTTACTAACATGTAAAAATAAAAGTGTAACTTACGTCAGAATTTTAATAATTTCTAGTCAATAAAAAAATGAATAAATTACATCAACAATTTTTATTGTTTTATTTGAGTTTCAATGAATATACTAACGAATAGAGATGGAGAGATTGTAGTTAAAATTGAATTAAAAATAAAAGTATGAAGTTAAAATTAATAAACTTGAAATTACAAAAACAAAAATGAAAAAAACGAGACAAATTATATCAGTAGTCTTTATACTTTGTTCATTGTATTATTTTTGTTTTTGTAATTTTAATTGACTTTATTTGCACAATAAATTTATAATTTTGTCTCAATTTAATTCAATAAATTAAATTGTTATTGTTTTCTGATGAAAATTAGCACATGAACGACATGTGTCATACTTTTATAAATAAAATAAAATAAACTAAACTTATTCAACTCAATGTATTAACTTCAATTGTCTTAGTAATTATTTTCCTTCGAAAATCGTAATCGGTGTTACCCATTAGACCTAATTGACACAAAATTTAAAATTCAAAATCATAAGAAAACCACTTAAAATTATAGAAACCGAAATAATATAAAAGATAAAATGCAAAAACTATCAATATAATTGGCAAAATTTGGTTATTTATTGGGCCATGTCAGGCCCCCCAAAAATGAAATAGCAGGCCCAAAATATATCTCCAAAAAAAAAAAAAAAAAAAAAAAAAAAAAAACACCCCGAAAATACGTGCCCTACGAGTCCAACGACCATATCAAGCACAAAATATTAGCTCAGACAGCACACACAGGGTTTAGGAGCTGCCATGGAGGAAGAAGATGAAGCAGGAGAGCCCCCACGAACTCAGACTCGCCACATCAAGAAGAGAGCTCTCAGGAACAAGGCTCTCTCCATCTCCTTCGACGAGAAAGACCTCAAGTACCATTCAATTTCTGTATATTTACACACATGCATACATATACGTTGAAGTGTTTGAAACGAACCACAATGGAAATTTAATGTTTTGGGTGTATATTTTGAAAATTTATGTTGTGATGTGGGGTGTTCCTATTGGGCTTGTCTAACTAGGGTTTTGGTTTGAAAAAAAAAAGGGATTTTGTGACTGGGTTTCATAAAAGAAAGAAGAAGAGGAGAAAGGAAGCTGAACGGCAATTACAGGAAGTGCAACGTCGGAAACGCATCGAGCTGCGTAAAAAGGTTGCAATTTTAACATTTTTGTGTTATGGTTTAATTGTAGTGAAATGGAATTGGAATGAGTTAGTTTGTTTGTTAGCATCAATGTGATTTTATTGTTTTTATTAGTAGTTTTGATTTTGTAGCGTGACCTTTTGATATATTAAGACTTGAATTTGTGTATTCAAATGCTTTGTGAAAACTATGGTGAACCAATTAAATATAGATGGGATGTTGGATCATGCTGTCATTTTAGTTAGGGTTAATTACATTTTTGGTTTTCAAAGTATGAGATTGGTCTCCAATATTAAATTGTGTCAATTTGGTCTCCAATGTTTAAAAAGTGTTTCAATTTAGTCCCTCAACCAAATCTCGTCAATAGATTCCATCTATGAAGTACGGACACTTCAAACATAGCTTTGTCGGACACAGTGACACGCCAAATGCTGTGCCCCCTTTAAGTTATTATTATTATTATTATTATTTTTGTAGGGAAGATGGGAGGGATACGCGTGTCCAAATATGGACACATCAGAGGACACAGGGACACGACTTGTCCCTTATTTTATTATCTTTTTTGTAGGGAACATGGCAGGGACACGTGTGTCCAAATATGGATGATCTATTAATTTATTTAAACGTAGTGGTTTATATATATATATATTGAATTAATGTTAGTTTTTATTAATTTTGATTGTTTGGTAACATAATATTTATCTACATATCAAATATATATATATAAATATTTCCCATGTTTCCCGCCGTGTCCGTGTCTCCGGATTTTTGAAATCACTGTGTACCGTATCTGTGCTTCATAGGACTCCATTAAGTCAAGTATAAATGTGTAATTGTGGAGATCAAAATAACATAGATCACATATTTTGGGACTAAAAGTATAATTTTTTAAGGAGTTTCCAAATTAATGACAAGTATCACATATTTTTAGGACTAAAAGTGTGATTTTTAAGTGATTTTTCACATTTATCCCTGATTTTAATGGCATTTATTGACAAAATTTAGTTTTGGGCTGGGGGGGGGGGGGGGGGGGACAAAGGGGGGGGGGGGGGGGGGGCAAAGACATTTGGGGGACCAAATTGACTCTTTTATTTAAATCCAATTGTAATTCGACATTCTTAAATGCTGATCTTTTTGGGAGAGTAGGATCATGCATTGGTTTCTATGGTTGTTCCAAGTTGTGCGTTGAATAAAAAAGAAGCTAATTTCATTGTAGAATTCTGATTTTTTGTGAACACCGCTTGTTGATATAGTAATATTGTTCTTTTTAAGTTTCTAAAATTGAGTCGCAAATGTGGTTTTAATAGGGCACTGAAAATGAGGTTTTGATGATGAATTAAGTTCATGATAGTATGGATGATCCTTCAATGTTTCACAACAATGGATCCAAACCCTGGATCAATGTATCAGGGGCATAGTGTGTTGTATGGCAATTTCTGGATGGGACATCTAAACAGCTGCTACAGTGTTGTGTTAATGTTGGGACTGGCATAGGTTGGAAATTTCATGATTATCTAATGTATACGTATGCCTTAGGTAGAGGCCAAGTCACAACCACTTGGACGAGCCTTAAAGGCTTGGAAGCACGGATGCTATGAGTGATCTTATCGGCATGAAAGTTGCTATAGAAAAGCTTCATCAACATTAGGTTTTCTTTTTGAACAGGGCGTACATCTTGAAAACTTCAAGTTTGTTATGGAAGAATTTGATTGGCATGAAAATTACTAGGGTAGTGTTTCATCTGTAACGAAAAAAAATTTGGATAAGGACAAGACTGAGGAAACCATGAAAAATGGACTTTAGAGTTCATTTGGTAACTTGATCAACCGACATTGGATGTTGGTCGACCAAGGGTGCTATGGTTTTCATGACCCAAATAGCCTACTGACCCAACTACTTGAATGGAGTGGGTCTACCAGCATGATTCAAAGCTTTAAACTCAAGTTGCTAGTAATATGGTTATTAGAATCCCGATTCGGATTGTAGGATATTACGATTCTACGACTTTAGTTAGGCCAAACAATCCGGATCATGCTAGGATCTTAAATTTAGTAGGATCTTAAAGTGACTACGATCCTAGTCATAAAATTGTTTAGAATCGCATATGATTATGATTCCACTACGATCCTAATCCTATACATTTTTTGTTATTATTTATTTGTTATATATGTATGTATATATGTATATAAAAAATTTGACTATGAACTCTTTTTTCAAGCGTCTTTTCCAATTTATGTTAACATAAAAATGCATTTTATCAAATTTATCATTTTTCTTTTATCTTTTAAAATTATGTAACGTATATTATCATTATCGATATTTTTTATTTTATTTTGCATTGAAAGTAGAATTTTACTATTCTCGATCCAATTTTATAATCTAATTTGCGAGTTCTTTCCAACGATCCCACGTAGAATCCCGATTTTAACAACCTTCGCTAGTAATAGTCTACTTGATTCTTTATATACTAGACTAAAATTTCATTTTCCATCATCATGTGATGTCACAGTATCCCCTACTCAAATACATGGCATCCTTGTTGCATTGCCTAGGTCCTTTCCCTTGGCTGGGGATGTGGGATTGCAAGTCATAATTAACCACAAAGCAGCCCATACGTGGGCACAAGGTACACTTCTCCGAGGCCTTTACATCTCTCTGGAGGCTCTACTCTACTACACTGCTATGGTGCCCTTTACGAGACCCTGAGGCCTTTAAATCTCTCTGGAGCCTCTACTCCTCTACCACACTACTAAGGTGCACTTTGCAAGACCTCGAGTTCTTTACATCTCTTTGGAGCCTCTACTTTTCTACCACACTGCTATGGCGCCCTTTACGAGTCCTCGAGGCCTTTACGTCTCTCTGGAGCCTCTACTTCTCGACCACACTGCTACAACACCCTTTACAGGACAAATGCTGGCTCTGATACCATTGATCATAATCGAAGTAACCTACTAACCTAACAACTTGAATGGAGTGAGTCTATCAACATGATCCAAAAGTTTAAGCCCAATTTGCTAGTAGTAGTCGTAGTCTGTTTGGTTTTTTCTATACCAGACTAACATTTCGTTTTCCATTGATGTGGGATATCACTATGGTTGAAACAAGAGACTAGCCATATAGGTTGGTTGACCATTATGGGCCGACCCTAATCTATGAGGAAATTTAGAGACCCGGAATCTATACATAGATGCATGGGCTGACCCAAATGATGCTATAGGTTGATCTAAATGAAATTTCAGAGAGCAATTTCCTAAAGTATGGGCCGCTGACCTACAATAATGGAATATTGCAGTTAGAGAGACATGCAGTGGAAGTAGGCAAGTATTAGAACCACCTTAAAATCTTGCGTTATTCTCTTTACTATGTGTTCTTCAATTTTTTATACGTATGCTAGCATTTTTTAGATGAATGTGATTCATTTATGATTTCGTTATGAGCAACCATATAGGACTTGAATCCTTGTTTTTGTTGATATGTTGAAAATTTCTATAGAATTAAACTAGACACCATTAGGCTACAAGAAGTAAATCATAAAAGGTTTTAGTGCTCCTCTAGAGGGTTTAGAAACAAAAAACAAACTTTTGGACCTGGTTAACTGTTGACCACACCAAACTTGGTCTACCAGGATGGTTAACCAAGCTGTGAATTGGCCGACCTACATAAAATATAATGTTGATATCTTGAAACCCTTTACGTATTATGAGGTAATAATTGAGACAAATTGTCCTATTCAGCTGAACTAGAATGTCTGAGACCCTCTTGAGTTCAGAGTCCAGACTGATCTGGTGCCCACACAAACCATATGCATCTGGTGTAAGCCTAGGTGAGTTGAACCTAAGACATCTGGTTCCTTGGTCATAATCATATCCAGTAGCCTACCCATTCGTGTTACCATCCTTTCTTCACTTTATCAAAACAGACAAAAGGCCATAGTTTTCTCTTATTCCTCCAATGTTCCAATCTTTATGGAAGTTCACAAAACCTTGTGGACTGTTAGTAGCCATTGTCATTACTTATAAACAAGGGGTAACTTTGTAAACTCTTTGGTTGTATTTGCTCACTGTGCCTCATGATGTCAAACATCTGCTGACTCATATCCATAAAATCCTTGATAAATTCTCCTTAGTATACATAAACTTTGACAAGTTGTTATAAATCTGGAATGACTGCAAATTGTGAATTTGTTAGTTATTTACCTCATTATTGTTTCGTTCTAGTACTCTCTTTGTCATAACGTTGTTGCTTTACACTTCTTTCACTTTCAGGGAGTCAAAATACTTCGACAAATTCTACTCTTCTCTTTGACCCCAAGTATGTTCATTGCTGGACTTCTTTTTCTTCCATGTGTTTTTTGACTCTTTTCATGAGTTTATTATAGCTTGTTTAGACACCACTTCCTTTATCCTTTTGTATGCATTTCACCTGTCACTAGTCAACGTGGTTTTAGTAACATAGAATGTAATTTTGAAGCAAGCCATTTGTGTTTTCTTAGTCTTTGGTATTGAAGCTGTCCCAAATGTTGGATGAGGACCATATTTGAGATTTTATATTGTTTTGGGTTAAAACTCATTGGTAACAACTTGAAGAAGTGAGAAGCAGATAGTAAACTGGTCAATAATTTGAGAGGTTAAGGGTAAACTCATCAAGCTTTAACAAGTTCTTTACTTGTTTCATTTCACGTGCTTAATGTCTTTCAGTATACTAAAAGGTTTTGTGCAATCCCATCTTGTAACTAGTACATGCTGTATGGTCTAATTACTTGGTTGCTGTAATCATTATTGTTGCTGTATTTTTTCTAATACAGTGATCACATTCTATCATCTGTGCCTTACCTTGGCGGTTTGAATGTTTCCACAGAGAAAAATGGAAAGGGAATTCGTTCAATATGGTGGAGCTCCAGCAGAGACAAGTGCAGGACCTGATGAACGTGGGGACAATTCTGAGCAGGACGAAGAAATCGAGCCAGTTCCATCTGTTTCTGGTAAATTTTCCTTACCAATAAAATCTACTGGGTTGAAACATGACATAAGCTGTCTGGGAACATTAATTTCACTTGGTTCACTATTCTAGGAGAGGAGAGGAAACTAAGGGAAAGGAAAAAGAAAGAAAGGGAAGAGCAGAGGGATTTCTGTTATTTTCATTCTTTTCTTTAGGTAAAAGTACTGGGGGGCCATTGCTTAGTACAGTGGAAGTTAGGCTACCAAGTTGAGGACATGCATTCGAGGTTGAGGGTAGCCACTTGGTTGCAAATCATGCCAGTCCAGTTGGTGCAAATCATACCAAAGTTCAAGTTTATAACCAGTCCAGTCCACCCCTTACGCCACTCTTGGTGAACAGGGATCAGAAGAGTGACCCCCTTGTTTAGGTAGAGAAAGTAAAGAGAAGTTACAGGAGGAAAATGTCTACGCACTTAACCAGAAAAAGGAAGATGCTTAAGTCCTTCATTTGAGGGGGACATATTGGTAGGCAGGCTAGGAAAATCTATTTCAAAGATTTCCTTAGGCTATGCTTGGATCATGGATTTGGAAAGGGAAAGGAAAAGGTGAGGGAAATCATTTTCCTTTCTCTTTCTAAATCCTACCCAAATCCATGATCCAAACACAGCCTTAATGTCCGTTCTCATCTGTTGTATGAACTAACCATGGTAAGTAAGGAGTTTCGATAGTATCCCTTGTTTACTCATCTCTTCACTCTGACCAACAGGGTGTGGATTCATGGAATGCTGAATCCATCATTTGCTTGTTGCTTCAGTGCTTTACTTAAAGCAAGTAATCAGTGTTTTGCTTGGTCTGCAGTCATGGAAATATCTTGAATTGACCAATTTGTCATTAGAGCACCCTGTTGTGATGATATTTCAGCTCTGCAAAAAGTAATAAATAAAATAAAACCTTGCTGATAATTTTGAAGTTTGGGTTTTTGAATTTTTGAAAGATTTTGGGGTTATCCAGCTTGTCCAAGTTAGTCACGATCACGTTGCATGTTGTTGAATTTGTACATACTATATGCCAGCATGCTTATTATGAAAGTTTGGTGTAATGGACAAATTTCTAGAAGAGTTGTGGTTTGCCAGAGTCGTAGGTTAATAGCATCAAGTAGCTACTTAATAATAATAATAATAATAATTGCATTACGTAGTACAGTTCAGATGTCGTAAGCCCTATCAGTGCCTTTTCCCTCTACATATGGGTGTCTAAGACCCCGTTTGGAAATGGTCTATTTTAGTTGATTTTTTGATTTTTTATGAAAAAATGTGTAGAAAGTAAAGAGAGTGATGTGATAATTTATAATAACTTTTTTGGTAAAAAATCACTATTCCCAAACAAGCCTTAAATACATGGAATTGTTATATTTGTTATGCATCCATTCTCTTTTCTGATCAAAGATTTGGATTGTTTTGTTGGTGGTAGGAACAACGATGTATGACAATGGTGATGTGAAAGTCATAGTGATGACTAGTGAGATATCTCGTGAAGAAGAGAGTCCAAGTGAGAGGCCACAGCAAGCAACACTTGGATCAATCGAAGGGGATGTAAAGAAGCGCCACAATGTGCCTGTGAATAAGAAGAAACCACTCAAGAGAGTTGTGAAGAACAGATCTCGGAAAAAGGCACAGAACAAGAGAGACAAACACAAGGGAAAAGAAAAAATTAAGAAGCGTTGATCACAATTACTTTCTTTTCTGTCCAACAGTGCAAATTTCTAAATTGTCTAAACTGGCCCTTGTAAGATTGGATGTTTAAACTTTATGCACCTTGGGATTTTTTTGATATTTGATTTGATTAGTCATAAAAATTATGAATCAATTTTTTTTTTCTTCAAAAGATTTATTTGTGAGCAAATAAATAAATGCATTGAGTTAATTAGGGAAGTAGTTTGTGTTAAATTCTTGTCAAATTACATAAATTGTTTTGCTAATTTGCCACTATTAATTTGCTGACGTTATTAAAAAAAATGTATAGAAAAGTAGATAGGTGATATGATTTAAATAAGTTAACAAATCAATAAGTTAGTTTTTTTAGTTCATCCCAAAGGCGGCCAATAGGGCAACCTATATTCTAATTTTGATAGGATGAAATGAGAAAAAAAGAAAGAAAGCATAATCTCAGTTTCTCATAGCTGCTAATATTGAAAATTAGCACACTGGACCTTGTTCATATTCTTATATTTGAAATATTCTTCATATGCAAAATAATTAATTTTCTAATTGAATTGTTTTCGATATTCTTAGGACCACGTGACAATAAAACTGTTTCAAATCTTCTGCCCAAATCTTTTATATACTCTGTTCGAAATGGTCAACAAAATAATAATTGTGCTATATAAAAGTTTTGCATTAATTATGTATACTATAATTTTCTTTAGAGAAATGGTCTAAATAATTAAAATCGTGAAAATCCAAACGAGTAAACCAACATTGAATAATTGGTTATTAATTCATCTATGATATGACGTTTGGTCAAATAATTGATCTTTTATGAAATAATGATATGATTAATGATAAGAACAAATTATTATTTTGAAAATTTTTTTGTTTATAATTTTACTCCACTATCGCTAAATAACCAATATATCGTCATCACCTGTTTGCATATCACCGTTAACGTCGAAAAAATTGTTGAAAGCAACTAACGACGGGGACGGGTGGTGGTGATATAAATAGATAAACAAATTAAGTGAATAAATAAATGATACATGAATAAATAAGGAATGAAATGTGAACAAATATGTGACGTGAATAATGAAACAGATAAACATATAACTAATCTTTTGTCTTTAATACAAGTCCATCTCTTATGTTTTAAAAATTACATTTTTCTCCCTAATGTTTAAACTTCTATTATAATTTAATATTTTCGTTAGTCAACCGTTAGATCAACTAATATAAAAAATTAATCTTTTAAAATACCTATTTTACCCTTATTTGTCATGCCCTTCTCTCATTATCTTCTCTCTAATCTCCCTCTAAAAAAACAAACCAAACCCACCGCAACCCCTTTACCATCAATCCTCTCCCTCCACATCCAATATCATCCACCTTGCTCTACTTTTAGTGCCACCATCACCAACTCCCCCATTGAGATCCACATAAACTCTACAACAAAATTCATTATTTAATGTTAACACCTAAATATTTTTTTAAAGAATTATTAGGACCTATTTGGTAATCATTTCGTTTTCAGTTTTCAATTTATATTTACAAAAATTTTAAAAAATGTTATAAACACTTGTTTGATAATTTTTTTTGGTTTATAAATAGTTGTCTCAGTTTACAAATTTGAGAAAAAAACGTAAACTCAAAAAATGAGTTTAAACAAAAATTTAAAGATTTGACTAACAAATTTTTTTTTTTCAATTATAATGTATATGATCCCATTGTCATAAATAATAAAAATTAAATATAAATATTTTAAGCCTGAACAAACATATTTTTTAGTTTATATTTTTATAATTTTTCAAACATTTTGTTCAAACCAACCGCGATTGTAATTTATGTTCTTTTAAAAATAAACAAAAACTAGTTTATAAAATTTTTGTAAACATAAACTAAAAACGTAAACGTTACCAAATGCTACCTAGATAAGTAAAGAAAATCTGTAGGAAATTATAAAGATTCATTCAATATATATATATTAGTAGAAAATGAGTGAGACGCCCTTTTTGGAGGACCCCCACAACCTCCATAGTGATTCACACCATTCATGATGTGTAGGCCCACTCATGTATGTGTGGGGTCCACATCATGAATGGTGTGAATCACTATGGGGGTTGTGGGGGTTCTCCAAAAAAGGGGTCTCTATCATTACTATTAAGTATTTAGGTAAGGGTCCAGCTTCTGTCCAGTCCGGAATCGAACTAGACCGTGCTGTTGGGTCCGTGGGGGCCCACCACGGGTCTCGTTTTGAAAATCTGAACCGTTTAATGTGTAAAACTCGTCGAGTACTACATGCCTGTAAAAAATCACGTTGATTGGATATCGATAGCTATGCGATCAAATCAGTTTTGTATAAAAAAAAAATGGATGGTGTAAAAATTAACGGTTGATAAAAAACTGTTTTGTTCACATAGCTATCGATATCCGATCAATGTGATTTTTTACAGGCATATAGTACTCGACGAGTTCTACACATTGAACAGTTCAGATTATCAAAACGGGACTCGTGGGCAGCCCCCAAGGGCCCAACAGTACGGTCCAGTCCGGGATCGGACTGGACAGAAGCCATGGCCTTTAGGTAATACTATAGTACACAAGCTTTTATGGTGTTAATTATTACAAATATTATAATTAGATCATTTTTAGTCATAACTAAAAAAAATAGTTATAACCAAACACTGCATAAAGTATAACCAAAAACCTTTTGAATTATAATCAAAATAATGTTATAATCAATAGTCATAACTAACACCATAATATGTTATCTGACCTGCACCTAATTTGTTAAACCAGGATTGGGCATAAAATTATCTGACCTGTGAAAACCGCATGCACCTATTTGGGCGATTTCGCATAATTGTTAGGGTTAGATGCGGGTTAAGATTTTTTTGTTTTGCGGGTTGTGGCCCGGGTCCCGGGTCTTGCCCGTACTCACTTGCCTGCATCTGTATATATTGTTTAGCTTATATTTTTTCTGCAAAGTGAATATGAGTCAATTGATTGATCCTAACCTGTGCTTATAGTCTATTTCCTTCTGCAAGTAAATTGGATAGATAGGCTGTAATTTATTTGGAATAAATTATTTGAAAAATAATGATTTCATGATAAGAAATATGTGATTTTATGGCCTAAAATAATATTTAAAAAATGAGGGAAAAAGTCCCAAAAAGAATATTTTTAAAAAGGGAAAAAACTGGACCAAAAATAAAATTTTAAAGGAAAAACTCAATCTACAAACAGCTCACACATCTGTGAACCCAATCCACACAAACTGCAATCTGCACTGCGGGCAGTTATTGTTGGAAAAAATGGTTTTGTGGTGATTTTAATGTGAAATTAAAGTAGGTCCCAACCATCGGTTGAGGTAGGATCAAATGAGTTTAGATTCTTTGTAACAAGATCTTTACACCACAAAAGAATGACAAAAAATATTAAGAATTGAATAAGAAATTATCTCATAAAGTTGGCCTCATGAATGAGGTATTGAGAATTGTGTATAACTACTAATTCCACATTGATTGTAGAAGAAAGTATTGATGGGTATTTAAACCTTAAGATTTTGATAAGTGCATGAGCCCTTTGAGGCATTCAAATTTTTCGAAAGAAGCGAGTTATGGATCCTTTACGGATGTGTTTGGGTCAAAACTATGGTCCAAGTTGGTTATGCAAAAATTGCCACATGCGCACGCACGCCGTCGGGCAAATTCGGGTCATAGGACTTAGGCTTGGGTTAGGTTTGGGCTGTGCCGGATTGGTGGTCCACCAACCTATTCTTTTTGGACCAGGTTTGTTTGGTGGTTGTAGATATACACATATGTGTATATAGAGTGTGTAACTCACACACTTATTCTCCATCAATTTTTTGCATTACTCCATCAGTTTTGCAAGAGTAATAGACTGCATTTGTTGCCAGCCTTCATGGCTAGGAGGCTCTTCCTCTCTCCCCCATTGTGTATAAAAGGAGGTTATCTTCCTTAGTTTTAACCTAGAATTTTTGACTTCCATACTATAAAGTTAGTCTGCTCCTATATTTTTCTTTTTGTGTAAGAGAGTGCTTCCATTGTCTGCTTGTCGGAACTAAACATAAGGTGCTTCTATGTTAGCGGGTCTATATCCTTATATTCTGGGAGACAGACGTTGATATACCTCTAGCACCCACAGTGAGGTGGCGAATCTGTTTTAAGGAGACTGTGGTATCACACAGGTTTTGGTTTGCTTTCTTTTCTCGTTTTATCTTATTATGTATTTCTATTCAATCTAGTTATAATTTCCCATGAGTTCATGTTCTGTAATTTAATTTATTAAACATAAATCTGTTTGGTTTTATTTATTTTTTTACAATTTATACAACAATCTTAAAATAAATTATATATTTTCCATGAGATTGATCAAATAAATTCATATATAATCTCAATTAGTTCTATTTGCCCACATTGCACACTGTTGGTTGTTTGTAGTACATGATTAGAATTATAGAATAATATATATCATAAGGCCACTGTTTCTCATATGAAATTCATGATTACAAATTCAATGTATTTATATAAGTTGCCTACTCTGCATGCCACTGTTTGAATGTTTATTATTTCTCATTGCATCAAAGTCTAACACACGGCGTGCTACTGTTTCGATGTTACATGCTATGGTAAAAAAAGAAAAAAAAAGAAGGTACTTGGTGCTCTTGAACATGAAAGTGCATGGTTGGTTTATTTATTTTTATTATATATATATATGGATATATTTCTCATGTGCATCGGTAAATGATTTTAAAAAACAGAAATCACTGTTTCCTAGGATTGAATAGTCTACTGTTTTAGTTGATTTAAGTGGTTAAATACATTTCAATGTGTTAGGATTATACGCAATGTTATTTGATAGATTTCCAATTTAGAAGAGAATGCTTTTTATTTCTAGATCTCTAATATAAGTTGCATGCTTATTTGTTTCAAGTTCGTTTAGTCAAGCGGTTTATCAAAGAAAATTCCTTCTCTTGCTAGCCGAGTGAGGTAGGCAGATCAGAGAATTCCTTCTTTTCCGTATGCTAATTTTCTTTTTTAGTATGATTTTTAATTTCCTATCATGATTTGCATGCTTTTTTAGTGTATTGTTCTATAATATAATTTGCATGCTTATGAGTCTCTAGTTGTTTAGTTAAAATCAACATGCTAA